CTGTGCAAGCTCTCTAGAAGAGTTCTCTTGGCAAGATGTATGTAAGAGACCTCTTGGCAAGATCTCTGCAACGCATCTCTATGCAATGTCTCCGTACTGGATCTCCAAGAGAGGTGTCCTGGCAAGATCCCTCTACAAGATCTCTATAAGAGGTCGTTTTGGCAAGACTCTTGAAGAGATCTCTCTAAAAGAGATCTGAGAGATCTCAAAGTAAGATCTCTGTTCAAGCTCTCTGTAAAAGATCTCTGAGCAAGATCGCTGCTCGCTTCACCAGGTCTCTGTACAAGATCTCTGTAAGAGGTCTCCTGGCAAGATCTCTGTACAAGCTCTCTAGAAGAGTTCTCGGGGCAAGATCTCTGCAAGAGGTTTCTTCGCAAGATCTCTGAACAAGATCTCCATAAGCGGTCTCTTTGCAAGATTTCGCTACAAGCTCCCTATAAGAGGTCTCTTGGCAAGATTTCTGTATGAGATGCCTCGTCTTGTGCGAGCCTGCGCAGTCAAAATGCACATGGACATTTCACAAGAACCATTTTGCGTGGGAATTTACAGGGGGAATGCCGTATGCTTCGACCGCGACACCCGTTTTGTGCGAGCCTGCGCAGTCGAAATGCACATGGGCATTTCACGAGTCATTTTATGCGGAAATTTACAGGGAATTGGCCGGACACGGATGATACCACCTGGAACGAACACCGGGCCCTAACACCTACCGTAAGAACCCCTTCGGTGTGGCCACACTGTTTGGGGGAAAAAGGACTTATATAAATACAGTGGCTTACGTCGTGTTTCGTCGTGTTCGCGCGCTGTTTGAGTGAGGCTTTTCTGTGAATAGCTTGTTGATGGCCTGAGTCTTGCTCCCAATGAGGCCCTGGTGCGCTGATCGTAGCTGCAGCAGGCCAAGACATTCATCGCTGTTTGAAATAAACTTGGACAAAAAGTGATGATTCGCCTTACCCCACCATACCATGTCAATTTGACAGGGGTTCGGCCTGGGTACATTTTGAGGGCTGTAGGAGCAAGTATATAGTAAGGGACTGGAAGCTTACGCATTGAACGTTTTCGCGGATATTTCAAAAAGTCAAAGATTTCGACGCAAGCACAGCCTGGTAGCTCCAGGAATGGAAAGGACAGGCTGCTTTTGACCTGGGGCACAATAGAAATTTATGCAAGCCCCCTTTTGTCAGTTGTATCATCAAAAAACATATTCCCTACTTGCCTGACGACCTTTTATGATTCAATATATGAAGTCAATCGCCGACGTGCGGGTTTGAGGCACGCTGCCGGCGGAGAATGCGTCGGCGAGACGGTTGCAGGCGAAGGGACCCGGAATTAGTTTGGCCACTCAAGATGGAGACCCTGGAGAATCAGGAGAATCCGGAGAATCACAAGAAGTGCACAAGGCCCCTGAGCCCCAAAATCAAAGGACAATGAATTTTCACACTCAGCATGAATGAAAGGAAAGGAAGCCTGCAGCGCACAAGATCAACATAAGATGTCTGGTGTCCATCACCTGCGCGTGTCCTTGTTCCTGATGTTTCCTGCGATTGTTTTCATCACTGCTTGGAGGTAGCCCACACCTTCCTGATGTCAGAGCTGAAGTGTGAATATTGCTGCAAGGAGTCGGGTGGTTGCGGTGGGGTTTCTTCATATTGAACCTAAAAACTTGACAGACTTATACAGACTTCAAGAAATTGGCATGCATGTCGGCGCATGTCGGCGCCCAGGATTGCCAGAACCTCCTTTTCAGATCTTCCAACTCGCTGTGACGATTCCGCAGCTCACACGGCTTCAAGATGCACGGCAGTGGCTCAAAAGAGCCCGTCGCACGGACATGCGCATGCTTCCAGCCATGTATGGGCGGCCAACATGTCTGGCAGGATAGAGTGGTTCCTGAATTGGTTGCCTCCCCAGCTTCAAGAAAAATTGTTTCTGTTCGGTTAAAGTATTGAACGCGCTGTGGTGGGGAAGTTGAGCAAACTAGCAGGCTGTTTGCTTGTTGACGCAATCATCCAGGTCATAGTTCCTGCAGTGATGGAGGCGGAGGCAAAAGAGAATGCCACCTTAGAAATTGAAAAGAGATCAGGATGCAGAGAGGGTTGTGGCTCCCTGGAATTGCCTCTCACATGGCGCTCGTGGTGCGGGGGGCTTGATGTTAACGTTCCTTGCACTTGCTGCAGATGATGCTACGCTCGTGGGGTTCTTTGTTGGTGACGTCTTGCTCATGCAAGAATCCCAAGAGCGTAGCATCATCTGCAGCACGTACAAGAAATGCCAAGCTTTTCAATCATGGCAAGATAATAAAATTGCAAGTTTGTGACAGTTTTGATTTGGCGCTGATGAGGTGCTTGTGAATGCCCATGAAAACAGAAGCAGAGCAGACCCGGCAGGATTTTTCCTGAAAGTTTGCGCCGCGGCGGTTCAATCTACACAGTGACAGCGAGCCAGCGAAGAGTGAGGTAGAGGCAACAATCCGCAGACAGAATTTGGGAGGAGTTCCGGCGCTGCATGAAACCTGCGCCGCCTTGCTTGGAGACGCTGCTTGAGTGCTCGCGGCGAGGTCTGGTGCCCTGCAACCGTGTGGCCGGCGCGGCCTCTGCTTGAAGAAAGGTAAGGGCTTGTTGCGAAAAACGCTGTGCTACAACTATGCGTTTGAAGGCAGTGAGACAGAGATTTTGGCTCAGAATGCGGCGCGTGGGGTTGGTGATTGGGAAATCTTCTCGCTGCTTTCCCGCTGCAGCATCCCAAATAGTGCACAGGCGCAGTAAAGCTTTTTGGTGGGCAGAAGGGTCATTATTGCATCCCCCACTTCTAAGGTTGTGGCCCCCATGATGCTGAGTTTGGCTGTGCGAGTTGCCCGAGCTCAGAGAAACATGTAAAACATTGCCAAATTTCGCGACGCCAAACATTTGATCGCCGCAGAAAAGTGATTGTTTGGAAAAGGGGCGTGCTTTTGCTTTTGGAGTGATGGTTGCAAAATTTTGGCGTTGACAGCACGGGGCCGTTCAACAAGGGAAGCAGCTTGCTGCATATCACGCCGAAACCTTTCATAGCCGAACGTGCGGAGTATATCCCAAGAGAATGTAGCTTTGTTGAAAGGAAAACCATGCTTACCCCATGGTGGCCTTGCAATGGGAGGGTGGCACCGCAGTGCCATTAAAAACATCCTACTGTTTGCGATTTTGGCATGTTTAGCATGTCGCAAATGGGTCACGGGCATCTTGCACCCCAAATTTGCATATAAAGGAACAAAACAACTACGGTCAAAGGTTTATGGGTTGACCGGTTTGTAGCGCAAAGGTCACATGTCACATGTGGTGGTTGAATTTGTTGTTTATGGTTCTGATCATTGTATGGTTTGACTTGCCGTTTTGAATGTTTTACCGTCATATTCTTTTGGCACCAGCTCGTTCATTTTTGCCAGGAAGAGTGCGGGCATGTCTCTGCATTTTGGGCTGTGACATTTTGCAGGACCACGTGCTCGGTTTCAATATTTAGGCCTGGGACTGGTGCATCAAGGTTGCAAACCACTGGAATGGAACCTTGAGAAAATTCAATGGCGTTGGTTGCAAAATTGGTTTGGTGTTGAAAACCATTCGCATGCACTTGCCAGCATTTTCGCCATGCATGCAGGAGCAATGCCATGGAATTGAGACTTGCAATGTTTTGCGGGAATGCTATGAGAGGCAAGCATTCAGGAAAGGGTATAGGTATTGCAATCTGGGATGTTGATGTGTGGAAGTTATTCCTGTTTTGGAGAGCAGGTCTCCAAAATCATTTTTGGTTTACCAACAAAGTTGCGTTGTGTTCACATGTAAATTTTACAGTGATTTGGGAGGTTTGAAACGGTTTCGTGTTGGCGACTCTGCAAAGCAGAGTCTCATTTTTGAAATTGCATGTTGCGGTAGTCAGCAGGGGGCAACACAAAAACGTAAATAAATCGACATGTTACGAGAAATGTTGCGCTAGTTTGAACATGTTTGAAACATCATTTGCAAAACAAATCATTGCGAAAAGATGTGAAACCAAACATTTGCACTTGGTGAGTTGCGCTCAGCGTCCAGGATTGTGATGGATTGTGCGTATTGCAACGGTGATTTCTGCATGGTTGGCAGGGTGGACAACGAATCACCCAAAGGCTTTGACTTTGACTGGCAGTGCAAATTGATGAAGGCCTTCGAGGGTTTTGTGGGAACTCCAACCCGTCGCGAATGGGTTCTCAATTGAAGGGCTGCGTTTTTGTCGAGATGGTGGAGAGATTGGTGGCCCAATGGAGAGACTTTTTTAAATGAGAGTACGTGCATACTGACTATGAGTGATGGAGATCAATAATATTTGAGTGCATGTCCACCCCGATGCCTTCGTGCGATTGCTGCCCAGTGCATGGCCTACTGCTTGAAGCGGGAAGAGGCGGCAGCGGAGTTTTTCATGGAAAGGGATGGTCACCCAGAAATGTATATTTTTCTTGGCCCGTTTGATTTTTGCCGCTTCGAGACATTTCGAGACTCTTCGAGTTGTTTCGAGTTGTTGCACTACGTTTGTTGGGCTGGTGCGGAAACCTTGAAATCAACTGCAACGAGATTCATTTCTTTAGAACACTTTTTGTTTATGGATTGTGTATCGACCACTTCAGCCTCCTACAAGTAGACATTTGGTTACCAACGAATTCGTCCAGGTATGCAATCCGACTCATCAAAACTTCATTGTTGCTTGCCAAAATGGCGGGTTATTTTTTGGGATGAATGAATCATGGACAAATTGTTGCCGAAACAGAACCATCATTCTAAACAGACCCAATGATTGTCCTTTGAAAACTGAAATGCATACTGTATGATACGTGGATATACGCGGGTATTTGCCTGATCATTGAGGGTTCCACAGGTCCATCATACCTCAATCTTTGTTGGAAATTTAAAGAACATTTGGGAAACTCAGGTGTGAAAGGAGTGTTTCAGCTTTGGGTCCTTTATGAGAGAAACGGTTTTGGACAACGCTTGTGATCCATGCAAAGGGTAACAAACAGCCTGCAGGCTTTCCTTCACGCGTGGAGCATGGTTTTTATATTCACATCCACCTTGTTGGGTGCCAAGAAAGAACCTCGTGGCATTTTTCCGATGTTTGTGGATTGGCTCGACAAGACCAGCTGCATGGCTGGGATGCCAAGCTTTGCACAGCAATGTAGGGATCGTATGGTTTTGGCAAAATGATTGTGGCATATTTCACAGGCTTCGGTACTTACGGTTGTGGGACAGCTGCATTGAGAATGGAAATATTGGTATGGGATGTATGGGCACACACTGACAATTTACCAAACTTTGACAAGCAGATTGCCCAATGGGTTTAATCGTCCCAAGCACTTTTCAGAGTCTCAACATTGGCATGACAGTATCATGCAGTGTAATTAATTGTAATTACAGTGTAATTAGATAGACCGACCCGATAGACCTATACGACATAACATACATACCATGGCCCTCTGGACCACCTGACCACCTCCTCATTGCGCCTCAGTGGTGTGGTCTGCTCCAATGCCGCGACTTGCTGGGTTTGGGCTTGGACCATGTGGCGATCTGAGAAATCCACAACCAGATTCAGTTCGAGATTGTCACACTCTTGCAGATTGGATAGATTGGAGATTGTTTTGGTCTTCACATGTCTTCTCTCACCTTGAAGATTTTCACCTGCTTTCATTGCAACCAGTGAGCATGCTTGGATCTGAAGCAGATCCAAACTGCAGCTCACGAGCACCAACGAGTGAAACTTCTCTCCCAACAATGCAAACACCTTTTTTTCAACAGCGTCATACTTTCCATCGCTTTCCTGCTTGTTGCGTAGGATGACATCCGTCTCTACAGCTGAGGCCTCTACTGGCTACCCTGGGCAGTTGGTAGCGGTGGAAGCGGTGCAGCGTTCACGGTGCAAAGGACACCATGGATGAACTCAACTGAGGACAACCACGAAACCACCACTGCATGAGCAGCGTGAAACTGTGAAACCTTGCTTTTTCCGACAGCTTCAAGAAAACAGGTTCTGTTCGACTAGGGTTTTGTCGGCCTTTGGAGCACTCTTCTGCAGACCTTGGGTGAAGGGCTGCTACTGGTATGCAGTCCACCCTCCAAAATTGAACATGTTGGTTCAATATGGTTTGAACTTGTAAACACGCATAGTACTTTCAATGTTGTCGTGGGACCCGTGTTGGGTTCACTACCTGTACCTACTTATCTGTGAGCAGCTTGACTGATGTTGACTGCAAACTTCTTGTGCTCGCTCGCTCTGTGTGGGTGTCCCAAGAACCTGGGACCCGACTGGCACGAAGTGACAGGATCTGCTCAACCCAAGTCGGATCTACGGCGAGCAGCCCGATGAAGCAGGCAGCATTTGATCTATGCAGTACCGGATGCGTCCCCACAACGCAAAACAAGGGTGGATGACAGGCTGGCTAAGGGAGAATAATTGGCAAATAAACATCAATAAACAGAATATTTGAATACGTGACTGAGCCATGCATGCTGTAGTGCTGTGGAGTATGGTCACCACGTCCAGGGCACTGTGCTCAGTTCTTCTTTTTCTTCTTCCCTGACCAGGTTAAAACCACGGACCAGAGCCGGCCAGGAGCCCAGTGATGGTTGTCGCTGACAACAATATATGTACATAATAATACATAATATATATATATATGACACCCTAGGATCTGCATGGATTGTCGATGATAGTTTGAGGACTATGTCTTTTGGGCATTAACTAACAGCGTATTTTTGGTTGCCTGCCAATTGGTTATGGTTGAATGGGAACTCCATTCCGTATAGACACTCTGCATTTCAAGCAGAAGCGGAAATTGCAATGTTCAACCATGGAACAAAACTTTAATCTTATGCACCCTATGTTCGGGTTTCATGTGGAAAAGCTCAGGGGTTGTGTTGATCTTCTTCATGTGCGTGTTCTGTTCTCGTGTGCTGAAATGTGATCACGAAAACTCAATGAGCCGAAATCCACTTGACTTGGAAATCAAACATGCAACCGCATACGCCAGAACATCCCCTGCAAAGTGGCAAAGTGGGTAGGACATGGCAAGATCATATGAGCTGGGATATGCTGGGATCATACACTGAAACACCGATGCTAAGATGCGTTTGGAGTCCAGGTCAGTTGAAATCAAGCGGTGTAGTACAGCTACACGCGGCTGTGCAAACCAACACCCTTGGACCATGTACATTTTACCAACTCAACATGGAGATCGTGGAGTGTTTGCGAATTCGATATGCAAATTTATCTTGGAGAGTTTTCAAATTCTTCAGGTGTTTGTGCTTCCCTGTTCCAGCTCCGCATGCAAGGTCGTGATCACAGATTCTCACGGTACCCTGACCATTGAGAAAGCTGCCAGCAAGGACAGGGCCTCAACAGGTTTCAACCAGCATTGGTTTGCAATTCCATCGTCCAGGGATAGAGACAGTCTTGACAGGGAATCGCTTGTTGGACGGACTGACTAGAGCATGCTACCTTCAGAAGATGTTTTCTCATGACCATGGTCGCTCGCTTTTGTTTGTATATTGCCCTATAGATGCCTATAGCCTCAACTACTTGTCAGCAGTATGCTGGGTTGGGGACAACCCAAGAGTTGAACTTTGTTCCACAACTCGGGTCATTGCAAGCTACCTGCCGTTCTGGGAGGTGAATCATATCCACATATATATATATATTATATATATAATATATATATATATTATATATAATATATATATAATATATAATATATATAATATATATATATATAATATACACATAAGCATCAACTTTGAGATCTGAGATTTATGTTTGAAGTGGAGGATCCCAGTTTTCGTCCATGTGCCATTAGTGCCATCAGTGTCATCAGTGCCATCAGGTCAAAATTCTTGCGGGATCAATGAGGCGCTTGCATCCATCGGCCTGATGAGATCTGAGAGTAAGATCGATTTTTATCGGCAGTCCGCAGTACTGAATTCAACTCCGAAACATTCCAATCTATAAATATATAAGATTATATATATAATATAATATAATATAATATAATATAATGTAATATGATATAAAATAATATGATATAATGTAATATAATATAATATAATATAATGTAATATAATATAATATAATATAATGTAATATAATATAATGTAATATAATATAATATAATATAATGTAATATAATGTAATATAATATAATATAATGTAATATAATATAATATAATATAATATAATGTAATATAATATAATATAATGTAATATAATGTAATATAATATAATATAATATATAATGTAATATAATGTAATGTAATATAATATAATGTAATATAATGTAATATAATATACTATAATATAATATAATATAATGTAATGTAATATAATATAATGTAATTTAATATAATTTAATATAATGTAATATAATATAATGTAATATAATATAATATAATGTAATATAATATAATATAATGTAATATAATATAATATAATGTAATATAATATAATATAATGTAATATAATATAATGTAATATAATATAATGTAATATAATATAATGTAATTTAATATAATATAATATAATATAATGTAATATAATGTAATATAATATAATGTAATATAATATAATATAATGTAATATAATATAATATAATATAATGTAATATAATGTAATATAATATAATATAATATAATATCTATAATGTAATATAATAGAATATAATGTAATATAAAATAATATAATGTAATATAATAGAATATAATGTAATATAATATAATATGATATAATGTAATATAATATAATATAATGTAATATAATATAATATGATATAATGTAATATAATATAATATAATGTAATATAATATAATATAATGTAATATAATATAATATAATTTAATATAATATAATATAATGTAATATAATATAATATAATGTAATATAATGTAATATAATATAATGTAATATAATATAATTTAATGTAATATAATATAATATAATATAATATCTATAATGTAATATAAAAGAATATAATGTAATATAAAATAATATAATGTAATATAATAGAATATAATGTAATATAATATAATATGATATAATGTAATATAATATAATATAATGTAATATAATATAATATGATATAATGTAATATAATATAATATAATGTAATATAATATAATATAATGTAATATAATATAATATAATATAATATCTATAATGTAATATAAAAGAATATAATGTAATATAAAATAATATAATGTAATATAATAGAATATAATGTAATATAATATAATATGATATAATGTAATATAATATAATATAATGTAATATAATATAATATAATGTAATATAATGTAATATAATATAATATAATATAATGTAATATAATATAATGTATTATAATATAATATAATGTAATATAATATAATGTAATATAATATAATATAATGTAATATAATATATAATGTAATATAATATAATATAATGTAATATAATATAATGTAATATAATATAATATAATACAATATAATATTTAATACAAGCAATTTTGAATACATTCCATGCAGGTAGCAGAATCCTCATGGATTTTGATTTTGTCTTTGTGATGATAAAGACAGTTTGGGGACCTTGATGTGCGTTTGCACTGCAGTGTTTTTGGCGACAGCTTCCGGTTCTTTTGGCGTCCTTTTGTCTGCCATGGGAGGAGGCGCGTCTCTCCCGGCTTTGGACCCTTCTGCTGCCGCTGGTTGCCTCGGTGGAAGCCATCGACCCTATTTGTTTCCAGAGGCTTCAAAGAGTGACGCAGAGGCGGAGGGTGAGGGAAGGACGAAGATTTCCGGGGTGGCAGCTGGTGGCCGAGAATATCTTCAAACTACGCAGGAACCCGTGCCGGTGGAAAGGGAGGACAAGTCTGCCGAAGATGGCGGCCGTGCTCCCTGTCACAGAATCGCAGATGGTGGCCGCGAATATCTTGCCACCCCTTTACAGCCTCACCTCCAGATAGATCAGGATCCAAGTAACACCAATGCGCCAGCTCCAAGCTATGAATTGTCAAGGCCCGAAGAACTTGTCCGATTCTTGCGAGAGGCCAATGTGGCCTTGGTTCGCGGGAAGTTTCTGGCCAGGCTGATTGAAGAAAATCGAGTGCTGCCGCGACGTCAAGAGGCAGAAACTGAGAAAGACGCGTTTGTCACAGATGGCGAACTGGAGGAGTGGATCTCCAAACAACGACCTGTCATTTGGACCCTCTCCCACTCTTGGGAGAGCAGGGAACATGCAGATCCTTTTGGCTATCAGATCTGCAGGTTGAAGGAGGGATTCGAGAAAACACCTGCTCTTGGTTTAGAGATGTTTCACTCTGCCTGGTTCTTCTATGACTACGTCTGTCTTTATCAGTTCAAGCGGATGGAAAACCATCAAGAGGACAGCTTTCGGAAAGCCATGGGGAATATGCACGTGCTTTACGCACACGAGTGCACTCGCACCATCTCCATTCAAAAAGCAGCACCTCCCAATTGGATTGATCTTGAAAAATCCATTCCTATCTACTACAATCACTCAGGGAAAGTGGAGCCGCGACCAATAAAATCCTTGATTCTCAATGACACTCCTTACATAAAACGAGGTTGGACTCAAGCAGAACTGCTTTGGAGTTCGTCTCGGGCGCAAATGCTTTTCATTCCAGAGCTCAATTTGAGTATCAGTGGGTGCACCACAGATGCTGAACTGCTGGATGGGGAGGCCAGCAACACTGCGCAACGGGCCGAGGTTCCCGTAACACCAGAGATATTTAAGCAGAGGACTGAGGAGCTGGTGTTTACCCATCGGGTGGATTTGGATCCGGTCATCAGACTTCAAGCCAAGGTGCCTGGACATTTCCAAATTTGAACAATTTCAGATGTTTGAATTTCGTTAATGCAGGGTATATTTAATGTTTGTATGTTGCAAGTGTTTATTGTGTTTATTCTTTGAAGAAGACTGTGTTTCTCTTCTATGTCGTGGGCCCTTCCATTTTTCTCAAATGCGACCAGGGTGGGTTTCCCGAGGTCTTTCACTACAAGGCATCTTCAGCCCTCAGCCTCTCACTGCAGCACCTTGGATGTGGCTACGCAGAAACTCTGGATTCTCTGAAATGGTTCAGTAAAATACTGTAAAATGGCCAACATGTCATAACATGTCATTTGGATGCTTTTGGTATCTTTTGGTACCCTAGGCCCTATAGAATCTGTGGCAGCCTCTAATGCTTCTTGGATAATTAAGGCAGCTGACTGCTTCGGATGTGGAAACTCTGTCGGCAGCTCTGCCACACTACGTATTCCTGCAATCCCTGGCAGTGTCGCACTTGGAACTTAACGAGAAGGCGGCCAAAAGTCTCATGGCAAAATGCTTCAAACATACCGGGTTCCGGGTATTGACAATACCGGGTTCCGGGTATTGACAACATATTATTGGTAATAGTTTGGCAGCATATTGGCAATATTGGCAACAATTTGCAACATGCATCAGGTGTTGATTTACACTCGTTTCACATCGTTTTACATTCTTAGACTGTGTGTGCATGTAGAGATGTACTATAGAGATGTACTGAACGCGATCCCTTTAAGCATCGAGATTCCCCCTCTGAGTCATTTCTGTCATGATGGTTTGTTCAGTGCCTGGAAGGCATCATTGGTGGCTGTGCAAATCCAGATTCCGTGCAGTTGTGGGAATCCTCTATCACGTTGAAGCCATTCATTCATTCATTCCTTCCTTCCTTCCTTCCTTCATTCGTTCGTTCGTTCCTTCCCTCGTTCGTTCGTTCATTCATTCATTCATTCATACATACATATATATATATACGGTACGTATCTACATAATTATACATATATATATATAATACATAATATACACGCGGTCTGTACACAGACACACACACACACATATCTACCCTTGAAAGAATCAAAGGTGGTCATGCAACGTCCCACCAGATATTTCCAGTTTGCCTTCTAACTCCATGGCTTGTTTGTGACCTTGCAATTTGACGATATCCTCAAAACAGAAAGGGATTTACAAGGTCCTTTGAATCCTTCCAGAATCCTGAATCTATTTATATCTATTTATATCTATTTATAGCTATTTATATCATTTTATAAAAATGTGATATCTCATGATATCTCTGATATTTTTACCCCGAATTAGAACATCAAACCGAGGCCTCGAAAATGCTCTGCTGGAGGTCCCTCAACTGAGATCCATCAGCTTCACCGACTGCGCAAAGCCATGCCCTGAGCTGGCCATGGCAATGGCTGGTGTCTTGAAAGGCGGGGAACATGGCAGCAATGGCACCAGAAATGGATAGCAATGGCATCGGCGAATTTTTTCGATATCGGGGAGGTTCGACTTGAATTTGACGCTGATGATGTTGGAAGGACGACTATTTGGCTGAATGATTTTATTAGTTATTATACATGTTTTCTTTTTGTGTGTGGTGTCATGGTCATGAATCATATGAATTCATCAACCAGTTGAGTTTTCAATTTTGAAACAAATCACAGATGGGCGCATTGGGGCCCTGGATCCAGGCCGTGGATTTCTGCACCACTTGGACTTGACGGGCTGCTGCCTCACCACTGCGGGCATGGAAGCCTTAGCTGAAGCCCTGAAGGCATCGGTCGAAGCACTGGTGGTTCCAACTTGTTGAAGACTTGACAGGCAAACAAAAAAGAGAAGTCTGAGAAGTTCCATAAAGTTCTGTTCATTTGAAACTTATTTGTTTAGCTATTACTTTTTGAATTGCAGCAATGCTGCTTCAGCATTGGATTCAATCACAGAAGAGATTTAATAACAATTGAGATCAATTGAGCTTGAAATCAGATCTCATCACAAAACCGTGCTTTGAAAAACAACACAGTCTCTCGCCGCAAGAATAGACATGAAATACACATCATCCCAGTATCATCTGAGCTGTGCTTTGTCCAGGACAATTCAGTTTCTCTACATGAGCTGGTCTTGATGGACCTTCGGGAGTCCGGCGATGGGAAAGCGTTGGCCAAGGGAGTGAAGAGCAACACTTCGGTTACTAGGTTCATAATGCCGTGGGAGGAAAGAAAATAAGGAGGTACTACTGGATCACCCAGTACTATGGGTTTCTACACCCGATGAATTCCCTACAAAGGCTAAGGGTTTGACGACCATCTTTGGTACACGGTCTCTTTCTGCAGAGTTTATTCACCACATCACGAACGAGATCGTATCTCACTTGATGTTGTCTTACAGTGTCTTCTCCTCTCTGATGGACTGGGAATTTTGACTCAGTCCAGTCTATGGGCACACACATCATTACAGTCCCTACATATATCAGATCGTATATCAGTACATCACGTTTGACATCAATATGTCTGCTGAAGCAAGTAAGATTGCCACAAGATGAATATGGGACGAGTCATCATGCTATCTCGTAGATCATCGTAGATCATGCATGATCCTTTTGCTAACCCAACTCTGACCACAGCACCATCAAGAATGATGGTGTATTCTTTCGGTATTCATGGCATTTTGAATACATTCTTATGCCATCTTACGCCCAATGGTCATCAATTTTCATCATGTTTCATCAATTTTCCAAGGTGACGATGTTGCAAATCTACGGCACATCTCTCTCCTTGGAGGCCATTGAAGTCTTGTTCGAGTCACAGCTGGGCAGTTTGGGCTTCGGTGCGCGCTACCACGGTGCCGCCGCCGACGGCGTGTGGCGCCTGAAAGATCTGGGGACGCAGCTCACGGACGCCGTGGAAGCAGTGGCGGAAGGGATGGAGCTGAGACTTGGCTGGGAAAAAACATGAAAAAATGACAGACTAAGATTCATTTCTTGGGAAAATGCTGAATTCTGATCTGACTGGTCAACGGATGTAGTGTGCAAAATGATCAAACGGAGAAGTGAGGGGAATCATCCAAAACAATTTTTTGATAATATGATATGAACAACAGTGCTCTCATGTTCTCTCATTTGCCACACATGCTTTGAGTGACGTCACAATGGACATGAATCCTACACATGGTATATACGTATATATATATATAGGGTGAAACATAATCTTTTTTAAGCAATCCAGGGTAATTCCTTTGCAGAGAGTTTGTGGTATGCTTCTTAGTTTGCTCCTGTAAAGAACCCCATCAAATGATCATGCCGCCTTGAGTCATTGAGTCCATCATGGTACCTCTGTACCGGTTCCGCCACGGATCCCACATGATACCACCGCCGACTGGCCAACTGGATGCCACTAGGACTACCAGCCTTTCGGAATTGGATCTGAGCTATTGTGGATTGGAGGATCCTCATGCACAGCGCTTGGCGAAGGCTCTGGCCTGCGGGCGGATCGAAGTGCCATGTTCGAAATTGGGGAAGATCATACCATCCATTCCCGTTGGTTTTGGCTGCTCAAAGGTTTTGTGAATTCCCCGTTTTGCTGATTTTCTAGAAATATCATGAAATATCCAAATCTAATGGTTCGTTTTTTTTTTTCTATCTCCACCTTTATATGGATGATGTAAACCTCGCAGACTTTCTGGTGTTTTCCTTCTCATTGCCTCAATGCTCCGATATTTTCCAGGCACTGAAGAGGAACCAGTCCTTGAGGTTCTTGGATCTCAGGACTTCGGCGGTCCGGGTGGGGCATGGGATGCCCTGGGATGACAGTGACATACACCATGTGAGCCACGGCAGGAGCGATCAGCCATTCTCTGAAGAGACGACCCGGGAGTTGAAGGACGCCTGGAATGAAAGCAGACCCTTAGATCATCTCCTTCTGTGAAATGGTCAAGGCACCATGAAATGGTGGCCGACCAAACAATCTGTGAAAATTCTGTACAGCTGATGGAGTCAAAACCATATGGATGGTGGTGTGCCAATGGAATTATCAATCACGAATGACATTAATAGTCATTGATAACTCATGCGCTCAGTAGTTCTCTGCAGCCGATGGCATTTTGTGGTTCAGGTTTGGGGGTTCACCGCAGGGTTTTGATTCACAGAGACACACGGTTCAACCTCAGCATTTTCAGCGAATGCTGACGTAGCGAATGCTGACATTGCTGTGCTTCAGAGGAGAAAGGGACTTCCCAACCCGCTTGGATGGTTGATTCCGTACCCGGGAAGATGTGGGAAGATGTTAAAATCGGGAATCCCCAAATCCACAGCATTGTCTCTTGTTGCGAGGCAACCAGGGATTCAGAACCCGTACATCCTAAACCATTGAGTGAACCCAATGGGGCTTGATAGAATTGGAACGAACTGCTGACAATCTTGAGTTCCAGTCGCTGCCGATGTCAGGCCATTCGCCTGTTGGCTTGTCGAGCAGAGCCCCACGGTCTGTGGTGAAAATGGCCTTGGTCGTTTCAGGTTTTGGAAAATATGAGATGGAATGAAACATTCGTAGCTTCATACTGACTTCCTGTAGACTTTGTTGAGCCATGTTCATTCTGGAGTCACTTTCAGAACGCATAGACTACGCAGAGACATTTGGTCACGCTTACGGTGGTTTGATTCATTTTTTCATATTTTTTCCAGTTGGTTAACCTTCAGACTCTAAGAACGGCAATAGGACAATTGGAGACGACAAGAATGTTTCATCTTCCACAGAACCTAAACGAATCACTACGTCCGTATCGTGTCTGCAGTGTTTAAAGTCCTCGGGACCTGCGACGTGCGACCTGCGCCCCTACAACATCCGAGCAAGTTCTCGCGAAAGTGGGGGGCCCTGAGAGTAAACAAACTGGAGTAAGCATGTACAATGTACAGAATTGATCAGAATAGATACAAATGATACAATCAGATACGTACAGCAACTCAACAAATTGCTTGGACCCGGATAGATGCATGTTTGTTGAGTCTTGTTTTCACAGCTTGTTTTGAGTCGTGGACCCTTGCAGAATGGACTTCCAAAATCAGACCCCATGTACAGTCAAGCTGAGGGAATGGCTCCTGAGCTGAAGGTGGGGAATGTTTCTGTTATTTTCTGTTTCAACTAACCGAAGAGGAACTTGCAAAATCCAACCAGTATCGTGTTATATCGTGTTACACATGTCATGTAAGTGTTCAGTGTTCCCGCATTTGTTGATCTGAATGGATTCGCATACCACCTTTCATGCCCAACAACCTGAATCAGTAATTAGAGTTCCAGAAGACAGCATCCAGGACTTTCTGGCAGTTGTGAGCGTTGATGGCGAGCGATAGGTTATTGAATCTCTCTGCCCATGTGTCATTTCAAGTTCTCCACGATCTCCACGATCCCCACGATCATCGCAGGTTGCTGCTGCACCAGCCGGTCCAATTGCAGTGAGCCCCAGTGGCGCAGACCTATTTCGTTTTGCCCTCCAACACCATACCATAAGCTGGGCAGTAGTAATAATATGTAATCAATATGCAATCATATGTAATAATAGTAATAATAATGAACGTATTTCCAAACAAATCCCAAATCCCAAAACTATTTCCACTGGCAGTGTCAAATAAAAATAGTATTCTATAGTATTCTCCAGTCCCAAAAAATCCCAAAGTGTCCGGGGCCCTAGGGGGTGGATGTCCTACGGTCTACGGTCCTGTGATTTGGCTGGCGACCTGGGTGACCTGAGGGACTTGGGTGACCTGAGTGACCTGGCAGCAAGTCTGAAAAATCACCAGTGGTTTCAACGCTTCAACGAGGTTTCAACAAGGTTTGAGACCCGGGTTGTGTTCTTTTTGGATTTACTATGATTTACTCCCAATAAAAACTCCACTGAGCCTGAAACGACCATGGAAACGTAAATCATTGTAAATCAAGGAAACACCATTTTCAGGGTAATTTTCCATGATATTATAGTTGTTTGTTTCAGGTATTGATACGCGTCAGATTTCTGAGAACCCAACCAGGCTGAAGAACATGTCTACCAGTCAGTACATGATGTCCTACCCCAGGATTACCCTCGTGTAGCTCGCAACTTTCCTTAGCTTCCCTGCATTCCTACAGTTGTTGGTTATATTACGGATTTTCAGCTTTCCTGTACTGATTATTGCACGATTATTGTGCAACAAAATACACAATCTTGATTCGTCAAGAATCCGGAGATCCGCAACGTACGTTCCGAAAATGTTCCGAAAATCCCAATCAATCTATTTATTTTGATACCATAGCATCATGGTGTTCTTCGACATTTCTGGAGATGTTTGGTGATGAAATCCCTGGCTCTAAGACTCTAAGGTGCCTGAGACCCCCAAACTGGTCTGCAAACCAGTGGCTGCTGGCAAGCCACTGCAGCAGTTCTGCAGCCAGGACCAACGGAATCCTTGGGTGAGTAACTGTGAGTGAATATCAAACCATATCAAACCATATCAAGTCATATCAAGTCAGAGTAGAAGCAGTAAAAGCAAAAGCACCGAAGAGGACATCTATGATGATCAGTGACATTGCCAGGTGAAACTCCGTGTGGCGCCCCGAATGTCCCAGTCGTGAGGACAAGGGCTTCAAGTGCCAAGAGTGCAACCAGAGCTTCGACACTGAACACGCTTTGAACTTGCACGTGAAGTGAGCCAAAGGAGGTTTCGCCTTAGTCCACCAGGTAGTCATCTTCGAAAAACATGTTCATATTTGCTGTGTTCATCTTTGAAAAATCATGTTCATGAAAAACAATCCAATGCTGTGACATCAACTTGACATCCACTTGACATCAACTGTCGTAATTATCCGTCTTGGAAGTGTATCAGATTGCAATCAGATCTAAAGAGCTGCTTCTCTGCCTCTAGGTATATTCATCGCTCCAAAGAAGACTGAGATGGGTGGCAGAAACACCACTCCCACGCAGAGGAGCCCATTGTGCTGGACACTGGCTGAGTTTCATGGATGATGGGTGATCAGGCTGAGATGTTTCTATAACATAAAGTGAAGCAGTTGGATTTGACCCAAAACCCAGCCCGCTTGCCTTTTCGTGCGTCGCCCACAGTGAGAACTTGGAAGCACTTGGCCCATTTTGAGTAGCCAAGCTTCAGAGATTTTTCAGCACCGAATTGGCACAGAAGAAACACAGAAGAAACAGGACCACATGCGGCAAGCTGTTGGCTGACTGAAATCCTGACATCATGGTGCAGCTGTGCGTTAGAATGACACGGAAGGTGTGGGATCAACTTGGAGATTTGCTTCCCGACATTTCCCGACCCTGCCTCGCAGCTTTTTAATCCACACAGCGTCTCTCTCTGCGCCTTTGACTCCGCACGTTGTCAGTCAGCATCTCGGTGCCTCACGACTGCGGTGAAGTTGCATTTTCGGAAGCGCATAGATGGTCATAGATGCATGTGGCGCATGTGGTGATGTGTCAATCCGTTCAATCCGTTCAATTCGTTCAATCAAAGCCAAGAAGGGCTTGCACACACGTTTGCCGACAATTTCGGCATGTAGCTCTCTTTATGCAACTTCTCAATCAACCGGTTCTCAACTAATAAAGGGATGAATCAATTTCTCGATGGTGATCACCTCTGAGGCATGGCACCTGTCGCTCCCATCAAGGCAAAGCTGGACCACCTTGCACGATGATACCACAAAACGTGATAAACATGGAGCAATGTGGAGAAGGTTTGAAGTTTTGTTGACCGGTCTATTTTTTCCAACTGATACAGCAAGGTTGTACAGAAGAGGTGGGGCTCTGTGGCCATCTCATGTTGATGATCCAGTGAGGCTAGACTTTTGTTGATTAAGCATCCAACCGATCATTTCCCGATCTGCTGTTTGTGTCTGTGTGTGGCTCATGGCCCTACTATAATATACCATAATATACATTAATAATATTAAATAATATTAATATACCATTATATCCAGCCTCAACGATCTGTCGACATTTAGTCGACATTTAGTCGACATTCAGGCTCCTTTGGATGCTCCTCTGGCAGGGGTCCTCAGCATTCCTCAGCGCCTGGTGGATTTTGGATGTCTCCGAACTGCTCGCCTAAAACTTGCTGGGTACAGTCGGTGAAGTACATGTCTAAGATTGTCTAAGTGTGTACGATTTATACGTATGTCTACGATGTCTACGTACGGCTTGGTAGAGTTCAGCTGCTGTGTCTCCTCCGCCGATTTTGGCGGGGCATTTACTGCACTGGAACCAAGTGGGGTTGGTAATGGTCGTAATGGTCGTAATGGTCGCGGACCGAACTTGGTCCCCAAACCTATTGGTTTCAGTATGAGAATTATGAGATCGATCCTTTTGGATCCGTTCTCACTCTAAGGCATTGTATCAGCCATTGGTTTGAGAACTAACCATTTTTCACAAATTTGTCCCAAGGACAGAATCCCATTCCGGACTAACGGCTTTATTTGAGGACTACAACGCGTTGAGATTGTATCGTGGTATGTAACGGTATGTAGTAAACCATTCAATGCAATCCGTGTGAAATTTATTTGTGCAACACCCATCCTTTTTGGGTAAACACTGTTTATAAATCTTTCGCTATGCATTTAGGGTTCCCACAGTGATCTTGGGCCTCCAGGTTGATGAAGCCATAGCTTGATGGAATCGATCACTTTGTGATCCGTGTGAAATTTATTTGTGCAACACCCATCCTTTTTGGGTAAACACTGTTTATAAATCTTTCGCTATGCATTTAGGGTTCCCACAGTGATCTTGGGCCTCCAGGTTGATGAAGCCATAGCTTGATGGAATCGATCACTTTGTGACGTTCCCGAAGCTCCACTAGATGTTCAAGTACTTTTTGTGGTATTTTTTTTTGTTTTTTTTGGTACATTTGTTTCGTACATAGTCATACATATAGTTTGTGTGTGTTTGTACGCTGCATGGTCTGTATGTCATTTTTTTTGTTGCCTAGTTAAACAAATTCAACAGTCATGCCATTGTCACGCTTGTTTTGTGATGTTTAAATTGAGAATTGTTACTATTATTGTGCAGGTGTAATCTCTAGGCCTAGGGATTTATTTCAGTGTTTTTGTTTATGGTTTTCCGTTATGATTCAGTATACCGTAGTATACCAGTACAACTTTCTTTCTTGTGCTCAGGTTAATGTGTTTCTTGTTTGGCTATATACTGTTTTCATTTGTTTTCATCTGTCTTCCGTGTTTATGTATATTTTTGTGTCTTCCATCCGTTTCAAGTACTTGCTGCATATTTGAAGCCGTTCAGTCATTTTAGCCATTGGTTCCCGGAATGGTATTCCCATCAAAAGACCCGGCACACATCACAAGCTTTCGGCGAGCTCCATCAGTGTATCATGATAGTAGTCATCCCAGTAAAGGTGTCCTTTGTGACATCATCTTTGAAAAAAAACACTTTTGGTCATCGAGAGTCATCTCTAGGATCACAGATTTTACAGATTGTAGTCTTTGGCGAGTCGGTTTTTGAAATACATTCCGCAGAACATCGTGGAACTGTGGAGTAGCCGGTGACGTAGCCAGTGACATAGCCGGTTCGTGAAGGATAGTGACGGTTAATGCAGCATCCAGGTGCCTGAGACCCCCAAGCTGGTCTGCAAGCCCGTGGCTGCTGGAAAGCCACTGCAGCAGTTCTGCTCTCGGGTGCCTTGGAAACGTGGATGGAAGTCAGTATAGCAGTATGATATAGAACAACGTGTGGGGATGTAATGGAATTGTGATGTTGGACAATAGCCACGCTGCCTAGTTTCACAAAACAAAACTGAAACATACTGAAACCTATCGTGACATATGATTGTGAAGACATTACGCTGTGTCAAATTGCAGTTTTGGATAGCAGCACATCTCACAACCAGCTACTTCACAGTTACTTTGTTGACTCCATGAGAGATGATCTTTCCCGTTCTTTCTCTTTTGCCAGAGCTCCTTGGGCCCCTTGCCAGAGGATGCTGCAAGTCACCAAAAGGCACGAACCAAGATCCAAGCAAACAACCCAGCCAGGACATGGCCTTCAAGTGCCAAGAGTGCAACCAGAGCTTCGAAACTGAACACGCTTTGAACTTGCACGTGAAGTGCGCTGGATGCCATGACCGGGTTTACTACTGTTAATGCTGACTGGTTGTCGATTGTGGTTGACTTCAGCACTCGATGCAGCTGACATTTGACCTTATGACAGGTACATCCATCGGTCAAAGGAGGACTGAGTTAGATAGACTGTACCACGGAACCCTGTAAATTTTCCTTTGCCTATCTTCCAAGGTGAGCTACTGGCAAATTTCCGGAGCAGCTGTTGAAGTATAAGGAACAATATAGGAGCAACATCGGACTGACTTTTCCGCTTTTACCAGGTGTCATACTATGAGAAGTGAAAGGACTGTGATTGAGTGCGATTGTTGATTCCGGTTCGCTTGTGGTTCGCTTCTTGCATCGCCATTTCACCGGCAGCTCTTACAGGGTAAGCTTGACGCCGAAACTTTCAAGGTGCCAAGTTGAAAAGGGCATTGGAGCCCTACACCTGCACATTTCTTCAAGGGTCAAAAAAAGAAATGCGCATGTGCTGGAAATGGAAAAACATCGGAAAACTTGCAAGGTGAAATGATTTAAATGGTGACATGCCATGACATGCCATGACATGCCCAAGTTGGATGATCCATGCACGACCGAGCCGCCAGATGTTTGTCTCAGCAGTTGGGATATCATCTGTGATAAATCTCAGACGCAGATGGAGTAAACTTTGCACTCATTCAACTCATAATTTATGATTATTTATGTCGGATTCAACTCATTCAACCCCCATGCAACCGTTGATTCAGATTGTGGCCAGTTTCTGTGTTTGGTACCCCGTCTTCAAGCCACTTCAGAAACTTTGGCCAAAAACTACCAGCATTGCCATGATGACTGGGGTGTTGCATGGCGGCAGACGCTGCGGTCGCTTCAGTGAAGCGCATCACAGCTGTGATTGGAGGCAACTATATATTCTCATATATTCTCCCAGTGGTTGAAATTCATACATGTACAATCATATACAGTCATATACAGTCATATACAGTCACATATACAATCATATACAGTCATATATTCCATATATTCCATAATATATTCCATAAAAGCTTCCATATACGTGCTGGGTAGTATATGATAATCAATGGAAGTATACTATTCCAATTGTTCCATTCCAATCCACCAGGCCTAAGCCGCAGCCTCCGCTGGCGCGATGCCTTGCGCCTGGCGGAAGTTCAGTGTCGGCGGCAACGCCACGACACGGTCTGACGGGGATGGAGATTGGTGCGAAACGTCTGGCGAAACCTCTGGAGAAACTCATGTGATGTACTGTAAATATCTGTAAATGATAAAAACATATAAAAACTTGAGGTAAATTGGATTGACATGTAAAATCATGTAAATTTAAGATTGGAACTGACAATCTATGAAATTTGTCGGGATTGACTGGAATATCCTGTGGTAGACCCTGTAGACAAAAATTGATGGGGAGAAACAGAACCACAAACTGCAACGAAAGCAACGAACATGGGCATATCATGGCGTATCCCAAAAGCCGCAACAAGAACTACGACACCACACCGCAACAGCATCCCCACATAGTGTGCCTCTAACATCCTCCACCATGTTCAATTCATGCCCGACTTGCTGCAATCGCAAACAGATACAACAGCCCCAAATTAGTGTCCAATTTGATGCTGACAACTTAGTTCAATGCAAATCCAATCACTCAGTGGAAGGCACTTCACAATGCTGCAATCCAAGCAGCGGCACATGGAAATCTGTGGCCGAAGGCGACTGGTCCTTTTGACTGAGAAAAGTGCGGACAACCTTCTCATTCAAAAGATGATCTTCTTATTATGGGGATTGACCATGGGGCTGATCCAGAGATGGCATGAACATGTTATGAAGCTCTGTTTCTTACTGACAATTGCCTTTCCTGGAGATCTCTGTTTGGTGGTTTGAATGCGATTTCATTATGTTTCATTATTTTTGCGCGATTCACCCATACTCACTCCAATGACGCATGTTTTGGGATGCGTGGTTAAACCACCAGATGGCCAGAACCGTGTGGCGACGCTGGTAGGCCCTGGACATCTTCGAAAAGATGGAAAACCGAGACAGCATCACCTTCAACAGCCTCGTTACAGCCCTGTCCAACGGTCGCTTAAACTGCAGCTGGACATGTCACGAAAGATGTACTTGATTTGCCCAGTCTCTTCCAATGTTGAAGATTCATTGAAGATGTTTGAAACATGCATTTGGGCGACTCCGTTGTCCTCCCAGATGTGATATAGTTCACGCAGGTCATATATTTTACTACGTATATATGTTTTGTATGCAACGAGTTCTGTCATGGTGATCGAGGTTTGTATGGCCTAATTCTTGCAAGGTGGTTGTTCAATTTCTTCAGAATGGCTTGGCAGAGTAGTACCACTCGTCGTGATGCCCCCATTTGTCATCTCGCGGTGCACTAGGCAGTCGCTTGGATCGTGCAATTTGCTTTGTCCAAGAGGCACACGAAGCAGGCACATGACCTGGTGCTTTTGAACGTTTTGAATGCCATGATATGCCATGTTGATATTGCGATATCACTGCGAAAAGTATGGATCATGCCAGAAACAATCATCAAAAAAGACAAAACGTAAGACAAAACGTAAGACAAAACGTAAGGCAACTGACAGATTGTGCAATGTCCCGATCCATGGGGATCCCATGAGATCCCACGCATTCCCACGCGCTTTCTCCAGGTTTTTCTTCAGAGCTCCCATGGTCGGCGCTGGTTGCAGCTTGCGGCACAGCATTGCAGTGGCAGCGTGCTCTTTTTCTAGGCGCAATCTGGTGACTAGTTGGATCCATGACTATATATTGACTATGAAGTGAAGTCAAGTTATTCAAATCCGTTGAATCTCCTGCGAATTCCATAGTCAACACTTATTAGTCTTATTAGATGTAGCAAAACTCGATCAGGTTGAACAGGGGCAGCTATTTACGGCAAAATACTGTACTAATACAATTTTTGAGTGTCAAAAGAAGAACCAGGTTTTCCACGGGAACATTGGTGGCTGCAGTTGTTCTTGTGATTAATTCTTCTGTTGGCGCAAAGGTTCCATCATGTCCCATCAATGGACATCAAACCAAGATATCAACAGTTTGAGTGTTCCAACAGTTTGGACTCTCGAAGTGTCTCGAACCAGGAATAGAGCAAAGCGACTGGCTGGCCTTGGCCCCAACGCTGGTGGCATGCACCAGGGCCAGTCGATGGGAGATGAGCTTGGCCTTGTGGGCATCAAGACCTTCAGGACGATGCTGGAGACGTCCATGAATCAATTTCATAATTATATAGTCATACAGAGTATGAATATAAAATAATATACACATATATTATATATAATATTATATAATACTATATATAGACTACATCCTGAGATTGGGTTGATGTTCAATGTTCAGTTTGGACGAAGAGCACGTTTTTTGCTGCAGAATTTGGACTCTGGACTGAAGGCACCTCTGAATAATGCTCTGACATCGGAATCCAAACCTACAGTGCAGATTTTGAACACCTTGAAATACCTTGAAATACCTTGAATCGTTTTCAATCTTTGTCCCAGATCCAAACCAGCCCAAACCATTCTTCTGTCCTTATGTCCCTGACAGGGCACTCACTACAGATGTACGGCGCAGCAATTCATGCGGCAAAAGTGGGTCATCAGTGGCCTTTGGCATTGAGCATGCATGACGAGGAAAGGATGTGGGTGAATGATGAAAATGCTAAAATGTTGACTCGCGGAGCATCCTTGATGCTTTGAAATGGTATGTAGTTGTGTAGTTGCTTACCGGATATGCTGATTCCGCCAATTCCGACAAGATGTGCACGCAAGAGCAGAGTAAACTGCCTAGACATCACAAAACGCAGACTGCCGCTTTGTTCCGTGGGATGATGAGTTGATGACCTGCCCGTCTTGCACTGCAGATGCTGAAGCAGTCTATCCTCGCCAACACCATCATCAACAACTCTGTGATGAGTGCGTTGAGCAAGGAAGGCCTATGGCAGGACAGTCGCAAGAACCCAAAGTTGAATGGTTGAAGCGAGGTTCACAGGTTCACTATCGCCCTGCAAATTTGGTGTGAGACTGGGGCGCGCCAAAACTTGCTATTACCACCACAACAAAAAAATCTTTTTGCGGTCTGCATGATTCTGCATGCATTTTTTATGTTTTTAAAATCCATGACTGTATTCCTGTGTTGAAACACACCCAGAAGAAGTGCACATGCCTTGATGAAGAACCTAGACTTCCAGTTTCATGTAGGAAGCATTGATGATCCTTCAAGAGATGCAAGATGCAGAATGTCCTGACAATGGCCCTGATGTTGGATGCTGAGAGCATTGTTACAGCATTGTTGGTCATTTCCAAATGCGAGTAGTTCTCTGTCCCCGTATTCTGTCGAGTATCTGATCACTGGGATTTCCATCAGATTTGTCGCCGCCGGGTGTTGCGACACGCTCACCGTGAAGGTCATTACTTACAACTCAGCCATTGCAGCCTGCGAACGAGCCTGGCAATGGACTGCAGCACTTCAGCTGTTTGTCCAAATGCGCAAGGACACCCCCATCCACCATGGCCAGTTCGCATGTTGATGGTTTGCTCCTGAGATTTATTATTATAATTATCATTATTATTATTATTATTGTTGTTATGGTACAATTATAACCGTTATATATAAGAGTAAACATTCCGATTCTGCATTCGTTTTGCTTGGAGTGGGAAATCCATGAATACAGTAAAAGTGACTGACATACATATATAATCATATATACAAATACCAACATGACAGGAAGGATCTCGGCAGGGGACATTGCCCATTTAGACATATCCATCCATGATCTAACCATTCTAACCATATCTAACCAGGAGCGGCTAAAGATCAGCAGCATCTCCTGTAACTCTCTGTTGAGCGCCTTGGAGAAGGGTCGCTGTTGGATCCAAGCCTTACATCTCTTGGCGCGGATGAGTCGATGGCGCTTGCACAACCAGGTTCCCCGTTAGGGATGGTTAGGGGATGGTTAGGGGATGGGGCGGTTGAGAGAAGGCTCTGGATGGCCTACAACGAAGAATCGTTGATTCCGTTGAAATGCACTTTTTGAATCTGTTTGATAAATTTTGGAGACTCCCAATTTTTGGACACACCCACATTGCTGATCAGATCTGGACAAACGCATCCGTGTGGCTAACAATATCGATTAATATCGTTTTGCGTTTGCCAGGTCTCCTACAATGCAGTGGCCAGTGCATGCGAAAAGTCTTGGCAATGGCGAAGAGCCTTACTCTTCCATGGCGGCCATGGGGGCCATGGTGATGCGATCGCATGGAATGTGTCTCCTGCCAGCAAAAGAGAGGATAGATACGATGGATATACGATAGCAGTCTCTGAGGTGAGATCGTCGACAATCTGACAAACTCCATCAAACTTCCACTCAAGTCGTCGTCAAGTCGTCGTCTGGTTTCCATGCGGCTGAGCTCCCTGGAGCTTCCAAGGTCTATCAATGCATGCGAGAAGCTTGGCACCAGTTGCAGATGACGATGCACTCTCAATTGGCATGGGCTGTATGGGTTCTACAATGTTCTACATTTAAGCTTCAGGAAGCACAGATTTTAACCAGATTGGGAGTTTGCCATTGCCATCCTATATTTGGGTACCCAGTTCTGGCCCCTCTAAATCTCTTGGATGATTGGAACATCTTGGAACATCTTGGAACCAAAGCTGTAGGCTTTTGGGATATAGCTTGGGATTAAACTTGATTAAACATGATTAAACCATATGAAACAATGTTAATCAAACCAAATCCAGTTGTGATTCTTGTGATCTGAGGAAAGGTCTTGCCTGGCAACTGGCATTGTATCTGCTTTCCAGCTCCAGGTGCCTTGGATTCGGAGCGAGGGAGAGACGTTTGAGCCAAAATTATCCAACGTTGTCAGTTTAGGTCAATTTAGATCAATACTTGGATTGTACTCCAAATTTAAAGAACATCATGAAAATTTTAAGAAAATCCCACCTCCCATGATGGACCCCTGAATTGGATGATCATCTCCCATAGGTGGCACGGCTGTTGTTTCCATCTGAAAGCGGAGGAAACCCCGTAGAATGCAGGAGGCCAGGATGGAAAGAACTTCAATGGGATAAACATTGATAAGCCACGCTCCACGAGTGCAGGATGCGGAAGGCTTCTTTCATTAAGAGTAGGATGAGTAGGACTGTACAATTTTGAGAGGAAGCTGGGAGGAGCGCCGCCAGGCAAAAAAGCCTTGTGGATGTTCCAACCTTCACCACAGCACTGACAGCAGCAGAAAAGGCGGGTGTGGGATGGCTTCTATATGTTTCGATCACTGTTGCAAATGGGTTTGAAAACCAAGGATTGGCAATGGTTGGCAGTTGGTACACCAAAACCTAAGCACATGCATCCGCACCAAAGATGGACCGAACAATTTTCAGTTTGCGACTTTCCCGCCCAGCAGCCTCTGTCTGCATTGTAAGGCCTCACAGTGGCAGCACGCCATGTTGATTTTCCAAGCTATGAGGCCAGTTGGCGTTGACGGAATACGACTACTTGAGCTGTCAGAAAGTTCTTGCTGTGAATTTCTATCTTACTGTATTTTTGCATCACTGTTGCTGCTTACCTCGGTTTTTCGAAGATAGTCCAGAAGTCACTGAAAGCGCAGATGCACAGGAAGTATTCACTCCAGCAGGACTTTTGAAGTCTCACAGCGTTTCATTTATAATTTCATTTCAAATAAGGTTTGAACACTGCTAAATCTATCATAATCTGGGTTTTATGGACATCACATGAATATACATGAATCATATGCCATATGCAATATGCGGTCTCTGTAAGAGGGCCATGGGACCGATGGGACCAAAACTTGCGACCGGTCGAGGTCGTCTGGAGAGGGTGAGCGGCTCAGATGTTCCAGTTTTGATGTCCGACGATAAGAGGCACGGATAGGGACAGACTATTTGGACTCAAACGAGACATTTGTCAAGACTTTCGACTTTCGAATTTTGTCATCACCATAATCCCAAGCAAACGAATCCTTGTGATGAGTCATGTCTTAACATGTCTTAGCTCGGTACATCTTGCGTTCCTTTGCATCACAGGTATCGATGCTCCCTCCCTAAGTGCTTGCATCCGCGCGGCGGAACGGAGCAGGGTTCCAAGATATGAAGCGAGCCGGGGATTCAAGAAATCACATTAAATGAGGTTCTGCAAACCTAAGATTTTGCACCAAAATCTTACCTTTTTTTGGGGGGCTACTTTCATTTCGTTCCCAATAGCCTCAAGCAGACGCATTCTCAAGCTTGGAAGTTGACTACTCTCCAACCAACCTGGACTCAAATGTCGAAGACTATCCGCTTTGCGTCCAATGAATGACACGTTAAGATTTACAGTTGCACTCTTCACAGATCCAACACGGCTAGGTCATCAGTCTATATCCATCCCCGTTTCGCATCATGCCGCTGCAAGGCTTATCCTGGCCCCTGGCACTGCATGTTTTGCGCGCCAAAGACTCAGATGGTAGCAGAGACGACCATGGCCATGGCAAATCGATCCCAGCATTACCAAAAACATAGCAACAGATCGGAAATCATATGAAACCATCATGGATGAGACTGGAACCGACACAAATCCGACACAAACGAAACGGTTTTGCATCGGGTTTGCATTGCGTCATGCATTGTTCATTGACAGATTTGACAGGCCTTTACTGTAGATTTCTGCTGATTCATTGACCCAGGCCTCAGATAAAATGTGTGAAGTGGTCAGAAGCTTAGCTGGACTTGTTCTCAAGACGATCCAGAGGCTCCCAGTAACTCCCAGGGACCGAAAGATTCAAGATGATTCAAGATTTATATAAGTGTCTAAGTTATCCAAGTTTTTAGGACTCAAACCCAAATAGAGCTTATATGCATCCTGAAGTTCTGAAGAAATTTCAAGGGGACACCATGAGACGCCCGTGTGAACACAAAACATCAAGAAATAACGTGTGCCTGAGACGTTTCGTCGCAGGTTCTTGGCAGTGCAGCTGCTGCACTGAGCACCTGCGGACAGTGGGAATTAGCGCTTTCCGTGCTGCAGGAGATGAGAAACCGCGAGTTCTTTGCCAAATTTGGGAGGGGATGAGAAAATTATGGATGATATTGGATGATTATGGATGGATTAATATATTATTCAAGTATATAAATATATAATATAATCAGTGTTTTTGTCATGGGGTTCCAAATAGGGGTAATTCCAGATCAGATGTTGATGGTACCTAAAATCAAGGAACTGGGGGATATTACTCGGGTTGACATTATTTTGGGAGATGGAGGGTGCCAAGAAACCTCCGAGTGAACAGGTCAGGTTTTGTGAGTGTTCCAATCCGCGGGGATCAGTCGGTAGCCGTGGATCAGGATGGTCATCAATTTGCATCACTGCAGGTTCTCCATTTCCAACGTCTCCTGTTGCGCAGCCATGAATGGCTGCTACCATGCCCGTGCGGCGGCGGCAAGGAGATTTGGGGTTTTTATCGCAAAAGTACCAGGGAGCTCAGATGGATAAATGCCCGTTGTAACCCCCAGGCTGTTGGATTCTACCCAACTCTTTGCTCCGTGGAAGTAGGGTTAAAATGAGTTGTTCTATGTTGTTCTCAAACTCGAGAAAACGCCTTGTGACTTCCACATGGCAATCTCACAAGGTCAGTGGCAAATGGCAACCGCCTTGCTGACACCAAGAGCTTCGGTCATTGGAGTGATGGCGGGTCCCAGAATGTTCAAGTGGCAAGCTGTCATTGGATTCAACCTGACGAACCTGATTCAACAGATTTCAACAGATTTCAACGATACCCATTCATGGATATCCATGGTCCATTCCCTGCAGGCGGCTGCCGATGCGTGTGAACTTTCTGCTGACCTCAAAGAAACGCTGGTCAGCCGCAGGCAGGATATTTGGCTTGCCAGTCCAGCAAGCTGCAACTCGTTGCACTTTGGGTGCCAAAGGATGTTTTCTGATGTTTTCTGTATGTAATTGATTGATATTGAGTGTAAACTTTGTAATTGGAGTTTTTTCTGAATAGATTTAATAGACATTTAATAGACTCGACGATACTCGACGTCTTCTAATTGACTTCAGTTTCCGTCTCCTCAGACTATTGGAGAAGCAGCTCTTCTGGACTCTCAGAGACCGTTGGCCCTTCCAGAAAGACTTACAGGCCGCTGCCATGGCACGCTTTCCGAGTCGCTGCCAAGAGTCATGAGTCTTAAGGCTAAGGATGGCTAAGGTAGCTGAGGATTGACTCCAACAGCCCTGATGATAGCCCTTTAGAGGTGGAGTTCCAAGAGTTCGGGATGAAAAGCACCAATTAAATTCTCTAGGATTTAGTTTAAGCCCAAACCATGTCTTTGAAATCACATAACAAATCACAAGAAACAACAACAGCAAGACCGCGGGATCAATAAGGATTGGAAATCATTACAACTTGTCGAACATGACCTTGATTAACGATCCAAACGGTTGGGTGATGTTTGAAAAGGAACCTTTTGCCTTTGATCAATTTTTTCCATAAACTATGATCAGCTCCTAGGACCAATTCTGACCAATTAACTTCCCATGATTTATCAATATTTATCACATAATTGTCTCGTGATTATCATGATGTCATGATCTCATCGTGATCTCATCGTGATCTCCCTGTCGCTGCGCTCCAGGTTCCAGCCAGCTGGCGGATGTGTTCTGCTGCTTGGAGCAACGACATCACCTAGTGACCTAGTGGTTGCAGTATTTTGCTGTTTAAACCCATCCGAAGCTCCAAAAACGTGGCATGTGGAAACTGAAAAAATTCTCGTTTCTCCCTCAAAAAATTGAGATTGTTAATTGATGGTTAGTGATGGTTAATGACCATTTATGCTAGGCTAGGGGTCGATGTTGGCTTTGGCCCATGCGGCCCATGCTGCGCCCCGGACTGGATCTTTGCATAGCGCCCTTCGATTTTGCAGCTGAGGTCATGGTCATAGCAACAGCTGAACTTTTCCAGGACGGGGCCATCTCTCTTTCCTGCTGGTCACTTTACCCAATCAGTAGAGTCTAATTACATGGGTCGACACAGTGAAGCAATTCAGAAGGTGGGGAATCTATGGAAATCTATTGTACATAGGATGTGATTCAACATATTCAACATATTCAACATATTCAAAAAATTCAGCCTTCTGACAGAAGGGATCCATGCAATTGTCACGCAGGATGGGCCACCGTGTGTTCTGGCTCTGTGCCGTGTGCACAAGCCATTGCTGGCCAGGTGCAGTGGCGATGACCGGGCGATGGCCGTGCGTCAATCATGGTATCATGGTCAACGCTCACCTGGGTTTACACACCAAATGGTTCTGGAGGTAGAAAAAGACCAAGATTAAATTTATTAAAGACATTTAAAGACCAAAATTGACCAAAACTCAGAAAGCATGATGCGTTGGTTGCCCTGGAAGGTTGCGAAAGATCCGGGGATCTCAGCCAGATTCTGGCGAGGCAGTGGTAGCGCATGGTAGCGCACAGAGATGCAGGGGAGGGTTCTTTCAATTTGTGAAAACATAATAAAAATTGATAAAACATGATAAAACCATAAATAAAACCTGTGTCTATGTGGATTTTCGGCGTCTCGGCCAAAGGGAAGACCAAGGTCCTGTCCTTTCGGGGAAACATTCAGGCAACTGAGCTAGGTCAGTTAGGTGTCTTTTGATCATTTGCGTGCCGAGCTGGGAAATTTGGTTCGACCTAGCGCGTTAAATGCAACCATTGTTGAGCAATCATAGCCTAGCCGCCTAGCCCACAACATGGATTGAAATTTGCAGCGATGGCTGTCAAATTAGTCAGAGGATGTCAGAGGATGTTCCCCAAACTCTGGAACGGTGCACAATCATAAGAATCATGGATTCAATCATGGATTCAAGCCAGTCGCGCTGATGTTTCCAGCGGGTTCGATAAGAGCCTGCAAGGTGGTTGAAGATCCACTGCTCAGACTGACAGATAGCTTGGGCCGGTTCTACAGCAGGACCGGCCTCACTGAATTGAACTTGGCGAGCAAACGCGTCAAAATGGTGAACTATGGTGAACTATTTGTGTACTGGTTGGTGGTTTCAACTTTAACATCTTATTTTTGGTCCCAGAAAGTATTCGGGATCATCATTGACGAATAGCCAATATTCTTCCGCGGGTTTGAACCAGCCAGACTAGCCGCACGGGATTCAAAGATTTGAAATTTCTGTATGACTTTGTGCTGAGCTGGTTCTCTGCTGAGAAGTTCGTAGCTTTCATTAGCTTTCCAGTCTCTCTTGGTAAGTGAAACAGTCAATACTTGTTGAGGGTTGAGAATTTCACACAAGTGTTGTCCCCATACCTGTATGCCCATGTATCCCCTACACGCTGTCCAATTCTCCTTGTCCAGTATGGCTTTTGGCACAGCCGTCTTGAATCAAATTTCGGAGTGGATCCACCGTCAATATTGCATGAAAGTCCAACTTGACTCTAAGGTCTCACTGAGCTGCTCTAACCAATGGCTACTCTAGCCAATTGCACGCTATCTTGTGAAACACGAAACACTTGTTTGGATTGTTTCGGATATATCCCAACCAATCCGATTTCGTCTGATTTGTGAGTTGTTTGGGAGCCAGTACCAGTTCTTGTGCCAAAACCATGTGCCATGGAACATGTCTGGAAAGCGGCCATGAACAGGGCAGAGAAGTTCAGATTGCTACTTGAACAGAAAGGAGCTTCCAATTGACTCCATGAACAGAAGGCATACAGAAGGCCACAAACTCAAATCCATACCGGGATCATTCACCGGAAAATCCACGCATTGTATATCCAATTCTTTTCGAAGAGAAGCGGGATTGACAAGATCCGGTTTGTATGCCACGTAAGTCTTCTCCTTTTGCCCAAACAGTGTGGTCACACTGAAGATGCTCTTACATCTTACGGTGTACAAGGGTTAAGGGCTGGCGCTTAGTCGAGGTGCTCACATGGGCTGTTTCGTACGGCCGGGTTCGTACAAGCGTGACTTTGCAGAAGTTGCATGTACATTGTACATTTTTATTGTGAACTTATGCTGTGATGACATTCCAAGTGTGGAAGTGAGTTTCAGAGTTTCAGAATTTTTGACTGGGCAGGCCAGCGCACAAAGTAAGACATGCAAGGGATTCCGTGTGTGGCACGCGCATGATTTCGCGCACTTTGCAAAAACGGGCAACATGCTTTTAGGCTGGGTTGGTATTAGAGGAAGCCCTTGCTGTTGGTGCTGGATAGAACAACATTGTTGGCAGATCAGGGTTGTCCATGGTAGATCGTGTCTTGAACCGGCGCCGTTCCCTTGCAATTAGATGCATATAATTGTGTAATCATATAGGCCCTATAGCAGTTTTGTACAGTCACAGCAGCTTGGGCTTGGGCTGCTGTTGGTCCTGCAAACCTTGCAGCCGCCTCTTTGGCCACAAACGTTTGTTGTTTTGTCGTAAGAATGAGCCCATGCAGCATCGTGCAGCTATGTTACAACCTTTCTGTCCGACATGGGACGAACTGCATGCTGCCCATTGTGAAAGTGTCTTACAAGATGGTCTTATCAGAGGGTCTCAACTTTCCCGAGAGTGTCTTACAAGAGTACCACACAACTTTGCGACTCTCACTGTTTGGGGCCTCTTGATGGCGCAATTCAAAGGGCTTTGTGCCACAAAAAAGTTAATTCGTCCGTTGCTTCAGGTTGTATGCCCTTCTGTTGCTCCTGAGTCCTCTGGTGCCCAGCCAGGCGACTACCGGAAAGGGCTGACATGCATAATAATGCATAATATTAATAGGACTTTTCAATCTTTTGTTTGTTCTAATGCATGTGACAAATCTTGGGACATAAAGCCAAACAACCACTTCGTGTGAGGATGGAGGCACACATGCTGCACATCTACGAAACAATGTTGCACCAGTTTGCCATGTAGAAATTCCGCATGCAAAGGTGGAGGACCCAGAGGTTTTGTGTGCCATTTGCTTCCCGATGTGCAGGATTCAGCTGGCCATGTGAAGGTGACTTTGGCCGGTCAATGTGCCTTGCAAAAGAAACATGTGGCCCATGTGAGTCCAGATTCAGCAACCAGCTGCCAAACAAGCAAGCAAAATCAAAGCACAATGAAAGCACCATGAAAGCATCGTTTGGAACACAACCGATTCATCTTGAGACAGAAGCGCTTCGCATGCTTCGCCACTGTTGACTTTCCCTCAGGTGATGTTGCCTTCACCTGGAGCACCCCACACCACGAGTCAGATCTTGAGGTGCAGAGAGCGATCCGATGTGAAATTCAATAAGGTTATCCTTAGAAAAGGGAAATCCCTTGGACAAATTCAAGAACTAACTTAACTATATAATACTTGACCAATACTTAACCAAGATATTCCAAGCTCTGACATCTGACACTTGGCCAGGTCCACTATGCGCCAGTGGGACACCCTGAGAAGAGCAGGGTGGTGAAGAGTCAGCAGCAGAAAACTTGGCAGAACCGCAGCTGGCTGAGGGCCACAGCGACCTTAGAGGAAAGTGACCTGTCGGGGAAACCAATACAGAAACTTTTCCAGGTTCAAAAGTAGTTTGCGCAGCAAAATTCCAGGAGTTTTGAAGGTCCACTGGTCCACCAATTCCCAACATGCTCAAGTCGAGCTCAGTCGAATCAGTGATCTCAGTGATCTCAGCGATCTCACCTTGGAATCCTCGCAGGACGCTCGGAGCTACGACATCAGAGTGGCTGGCCTTACACTTGGCCCTCTACATTTGCCACCTTGCCAGCTGAGCCAGGGAAATACAACGCGTGCCTCTGAGATCTGACGGTGTTTGGTGTTGAGTCTGTTTCAGTGTCTGCTTACCATAGGACCTACAAGAAATGCCATTGGACTGTCCTAAGGTCGGAGCCAAGTGAAGGACGCACTGCAGGCCAAGCAACCTTCAACTCTTCAGATTCTTCCAGTGAAGAAATGTGAAGAATCTATTTCAAGTGCTTCTTCGGAACGAAAATAATTGGCGGATCGAGACCATAGGAGGGGTTTCCGTTCTGTGAATGTTCATTGAACTTCAACCTTCCCAATTGGGCAATTGATTGCAAGCGGATCCTTGGAAAAAACATGAATTTCATGCCATTTCTACATCTCAAGACGCTTGCATTCTTTGGCACTGGCGCCAACCTACCTGGCCAGATGCGGGGAGCTCCCGCATCGCCATCGTTGGAGAGTTGGATCTCAATGCTTCCGTGCTGTCACGGACAGGGGTCACGCGGTCACGGTGATCCAGTTGGGGAAATGACGCTCATTTTCAGAGTGGACAAATTCAACACCTGGATTCAACACTTGACAACACACTGATGAAAGGCACACCTTCAAAAATTGAGGAATATGAATTAAGGATAATTAAGGCATATTAGGACATATTAGGACCATAGACATTTTTTTCCACGTAAAAGTGTATTTGCCATATTGGAGGGAACATAGATTGTGGTTCAGTAACTGTTGCAGGTTTACATGATTTTACATGTTGATTTTGTGGCTGCTTCAACTATCATCCAGGATGAAGTCGGACTTTGACGCAGTGCTTCATTTGGGCGACCTTGCCAATTCCTTGGTGCAGGTTGGGTTGAGGGATGTTGAGGGACCCCCTCCAGGCTGCCATGTCAATGGGGATTTGGGTAGGTTTCGAACGGTCCCACTTCTGGACGATATAGGAAGATATGAACCAAAGAAGACTAGTTGAGAAGATGATTCAACCCGCACTCGTTGTTGGTAAGTTGAAACAGGCTCAACTCAGCCCTTTGCATTCTTTTTGCGTGGGTAGAACATGAAGCCGGTGCAGCCTCCAAATGGAATAAATGCGAGTTCTTAGATGGTAAGAACTGCCACAAGAATCCAACATAATTGTATATTTATTTATAGTTTCTTATAGTAATCTATAATATATATATAATATATATAATATATATATAATGTATTTCATGATCTTTCCATCAGGATGACCTGATCAGAAACAGTTAACTCGTTCTCAATGAGCGTTGGACTTCGATGTCAGGCTGAGCCTCAGTCGGCTCTGGACTTCCTCGAGATGTCGGACACCCATCGCTTTCCGAGGGTCAGAAATCCATAAATCTGGAAATTCGCCAACCCAAAGGGGGTCCAATGGAATCCAATCAGATCAATGTGATCATGATATGAGTTAAGACATGTTAAGACGCTAAACATAGATTGGAAAATAGCTACACACACAAAACATAGTCGTACATGGTCGTATATAGCCGCATTAGGGCTTTGATGTAGGTTTTTTTTGCCTGAGCTTTTCCCTCGGACTTTGCGGCCCTCCAGGCTTCAACCTGTGGCATCAAGGATGCCTTACATGGTGCTACCGGGGGTCAGCATCCCAGCATGTCCCAAGCACTGGGGAAACGCCTTCCAGGTCACTGAATCACCAGGCTGAGAATGTCTTGGAATATCTCAGATTGCATAAGGACCAGGAGGAGCTGGAGATCTATCAGTTTGAAACTCAACTCTTCAGTGAAGTGGTGAATCTTAGGCCATTCTCGGCAAAGACTATGCAAGAATCCAAGCATTAAACTTGAGTGATATTCCACCATATTCCACCTCCAATCCCAAGAGGGCCGAACCAAGCAGGATGTTCTGTCGGAGCATGACAAGTTGTGGATCGATCCTGTCTGTTTATTTGCGCGGCTGCGGTACCCATAAATAGATTCATATATCAAACACATTCATAGAAAGGCTCCCAAAATTCATTGGAGGGTTTGAATATGTTTGAGAATGTTCGAAAGCTATTTCAGCAAATCGTTAAACCATGCTAAACCCAGCTCATCCCATTCATCCTCCAGCCTGCAAGGGAATGGTTCTCAAATCAGCTGAGGCTCCTCTTCGCTGGTAATCCGAGACTCGGTGAAATGCATCGGTGGATCCCAAAATCCAAAAAATGTGTGGGTAAAGCCCGGGGTGACTGGTTGTGATTGGGGTGTGACTGGGTGGCCCGGATCCAAATTTGTTTTTTTTAAATCCAAGACATGGTCCACCTAGTTATGGCCTGGTTTGGAGCGCGTTTTACATCCTGTTGCCACTTGAGAATCTAAGACTAACAAAGATCATCCGAGATCACCTCAGGTGGTATTCCTTCACTGCTGGTCATGTGAAGTTCATTGTGCTGGGAGCTCGGAAGATCATGAATGCTCAGAGTTCAAGGAATTTTTTGTGGGTTGAAAATTATGTTCACTATACATCACTATACTATACCGTATTTACCATGTTTCAAATGTCAAGGACAAACATGACAAACAGGCTGATCTTCTGTTGTTCAGAAGCAACTTAGTAGGTGCCTTGAGAAGCGACATCCAATATTTTCTGCAAACAGTTGGCAGACTCAGGCTTTGGACAGATGCCATTGTTGATTTGGGAACAGCAACTCCCAAGTGGTGTCTTGCCATCAGAGTTTGACAGGAGACGTGCTGAGAGTAGCTTTGTCAGCGTTGCCACTCTTGCATTGTCCACTCATTAGCTGCTTGAAGGTTGGTAGGATTTTGGAGAGTACATAGGATTAATAGGATTACTGTATGTCCAACCAGAAATGGCTCTCATCGGCATGAATTTTCCGTGTTTGTTTTGGAACTTGTGCGGGCCATTCCCATGGTTGTGTTCTTGAGCCATGATTCAAGGAAAAGCAACCCAAACTGGACCCAAACTTGGCTACAGCATGGAATCAGAGTTTGATGGTACTTGAATCTCGAATCCACAAGGGGATGAGTCGATGGGGCTCCTTTGTTTTGCTTCACACGCCGAGGCAACTTCATCAAGCAGCAGTGGGGTCCTGGGACGGGCGGTGACAAGTAGAAGATACTGACGCTCTCGGACTGTGCAATTTCATTGAGAAATAAAGGGGTACAAAAGAATCAGAGGTTGGACAGAAGAGAAACTTTCATGCTCAGTTTGAATTGGTATGTCGATACAGGTGGTACATACTTGTGACTGATCAGAAACCATCTGCACGAGGCAGCAAGGCAACTTCGGTGGCTGGAGAAGCAGTTGCAGTTGGCCAACACTTTCGAGGTGCGGCTGCAAGAAGGGTCCAGGGGAATTTCAGCGCTTTCAACATGTTTGAATTATTTTATTTATTTTCCAATAAAGCGATGGGATGTTCTGGTTTCAGAACTATTACCCCACATGACCCCCTAAATTGGATGCTTTCATGCCCTTGTGATCACCCCAAGTTGTGGATGCCTTCTGTCTTTCTTTCATTTCATCAGGGAATGGCCTTTCAATATCTTTCAATACCATTGAAGAATGTCAGATCTGAGATGCAAATTCCTGCAAGGCCAAGTCACAACAGCCTTGGGTCGTTGTGGTTGGACACAGGCCGATTCAGGGGCCGAATGCTTTCGGGCAGTTGTGTTTGCGTCAACTCTGTTCAGCCCTTGAGATTTGTTGGGCATGTAGTATCTGAAATGCACGTCGAGTATCCGCAGGCGTTTCAGATTATGCTATTCAGAACTGAGGGAAGAATACGGAATGCATCTCCAGAATCTACAGAGAATAGAGATTTTCCGTGGTTCATATATTATAGCTCTAGATATATTTGAAACTCTTTCATAGTGGAGAGAGGAGAGAGAGGGAATTCTGTCGACCTTTCGTGGTTGTATGTGGTGGTGTGAAAGCATTACCAGGCAATTCAAGATCATTCAAATTTGAAATGCTTCTGTTCAATGCCAAGTCGAAATTGAACTGCTGCGGTTGTGTTCTGCAAGGCCCATATACTGCTCCGTTCTGCGACCAACCTGCAGTTCAGAGGCGAGGACTCGCAGCTACACTTCACTCGGTACTTCAGTCGCGCCATGTCCTGCCAGTTGTCCTGCCAGCATTTCAAAACAGCCAGGCAGCTCGGTTGCGCTCCGTCCTGGAGCCCCTGTTGGTGAAGTGAGCCCAGAATCCAGAATGTTTGGATTCAGAAGCATACCAAGCAACTCTGACAGATATTGGTCTCAGGCTGTTTCTCTTCAATTTGTTGTTGGTTGCGTCACCATTGTTGTTAGAATTGTGTGGCATTCTTATATTCTTTGTGTCATCTGCATGTTGTGTCACTCCCTTTTTTGGAGCGGATTGTCAGCTCGGCACGAGGTACAAGGTTGATTTGTACTTGTCCTCTCAAGTGCACGTGTACGAGAGGACCTTCCGAGTATTGAATGGATCTGTTTGCCCGGCGCCAAGCACTGACGTTGCCGCTTCTCAGTGAGCCTGCACAGCATTTTGTCAATCTTGTGCTTTCTCTTTTTCCTAAATGAAGTCTTGAGCCGACTTCCAGAGGACGTTCTTCAATTTCTCCTCTCGTTTTTCATCCGAGACTGCGCTTTTCATTTTGTCGATCGGATCTTTAGCTGCGGCTGCTAGGCACTATGGATGGCACTGCTGAGTGCGGGTGAGCCAATCCACCTCAGCTGCGTTTTCACAACAGCTATATATGAATATGCGGTTGTGCAGAATAGCACATCACATACAATGGCATGCCCCAGCACAAGGATGACACGAACAAAAATTGTGCATTCTACCGTGAACATTGGCTCAAGAAAATCAAGCTGCTACACGGGTGACCTGTAGCGCTAAGGTAGATCCAGGGTGAACGTCTGGTTACCCGAAAGGTATCAGCCTGTGTCCCAACGCAGGTTATGAGCCCAAGGGTTCACTGGTGCTGACGCAATGGCCCTACGCCGTCGACGAGATGGAGCTGCTGCTGGGGAGCATGTGGTGATGCAATCAGGGCCCTCGCAATCAATGCCGGTGTCTGGTGGTGGAACTGCACAAGGGGCTTCTGCGGTGGTGGCTGTGGCTGAAAAGACAGCCAGAACCCGACCTGCTGAACCTGAAGATGGACCGCCTGGCCCTGAGGTGTACATCGTACCAGTACCAGCTGGAACGGTGTGCTACCGCAGGAGAACCTGCGGCAAGCTGCGGCGTGCCCACAGGATCATCGCTACTGCGGGATGTCCACATGCGCAGCTGGGCTGCAACCGTGGCAGGTGGCGTACTGCAGCACGGGGTACTACCATGCTGCCAATGGCTGCCAGCTGAGACTACCCGCATGTGGCGAACGTGGCTGCTTACTTTTTGAGTGAGGTCGACAAGGGTGGCCTCGCGCTCTTTCCAATGGCACTGCATCATAAAGTCCTTTGCCACTGTGTACTTCATGTATGGAGAGGTGGCATTTACTGGCTGAACTAGCAGCCACATAAGTTGGACGAACCGTCCAAGGTGCGGTTGTGCAGAATAGCACATCATACAATGGCATGCCCCAGCACAAGGGTGACAAGCACAAAAATTGTGCATTCTACCGTGAACATTGGCTCAAGAAAATCAAGCTGCTACACGGGTGACCTGTGGCGCTAAGGTAGATCCACGGTGGACGTTTGGTTACCCGAAAGGTGTCAGCCTGTGTCCCAACGCAGGTTATGAGCCCAAGGGTTCACTGGTGCTGACGCAATGGCCCTACGCCGTCGACGAGATGGAGCTGCTGCTGGGGAGCATGTGGTGATGCAATCAGGGCCCTCGCAATCAATGCTGGTGTCTGGTGGTGGAACTGCACAAGGGGCTTCTGCGGTGGTGGCTGTGGCTGAAAAGACAGCCAGAACCCGACCTGCTGAACCTGAAGATGGACCGCCTGGCCCTGAGGTGTACATCGTACCAGTACCAGCTGGAACGGTGTGCTACCGCAGGAGAACCTGCGGCAAGCTGCGGCGTGCCCACAGGATCATCGCTACTGCGGGATGTCCACATGCGCAGCTGGGCTGCAACCGTGGCAGGTGGCGTACTGCAGCACGGGGTACTACCATGCTGCCAATGACTGCCAGCTGAGACTACCCGCATGTGGCGAACGTGGCTGCTTACTTTTTGAGTGAGGTCGACAAGGGTGGCCTCGCGCTCTTTCCAATGGCACTGCATCATAAAGTCCTTTGCCACTGTGTACTTCATGTAATCGCCATACTTTAAGTTTTATTCCATTCTCGGTTGATGGAGACGTTGTAATATCTGTTAAATGGAGAGATGGGAGAGGTGGCATTTACTGCTGAAACTAGCGCCCATATAAGTTGGACGAACAGTCCAAGGGTTGCGGTTGTTTGCAGAATAGCACATCATACAATGGCCTTAGCCACCAGCACAAGGTGACAAGCACAAAAAAATTGTGCATTTCTACCATGAACATATGGCTCAAGAAAATCAAGCTGCTACACGGGTGACCTGTGGCGCTAAGGTAGATCCACGGTGGACGTTTGGTTACCCGAAAGGTGTCAGCCTGTGTCCCAACGCATAATATAAAAATGATAATTCATAATAATAACAAATAGCAATAACATTAATAAAAACTAGACGACGGATGGCCCGAGAGCGTAGACGAGCAAAGTCTTCTGTTGCTAGTATGGAGACACTAAATTACAAGACAATATATTGAAGATGTATTATAGGCAGACGAGAAGAGTAGTTTCAAAACAATATATTACAAGTACAAGACAATAGTTTGCATCGTATCTTTCGTAAAGTTGCAGACAGACGCTTTTACACACAGAACTGTTTACAAACAGACGCTTTTATTATACACACAGAGGCTTTTACACACGGACGCTTTTACACACAGAGCTTTTACACACAGACGCTTTTACACACAGACGCAAATACACACAGAGACTTTTACACACAAACACGTTTACACACAGACGCTTTTACACACAGACACTTTTACACACCAACACTTTTACACACAAATACTTTTACACACAGACGCTTTTACACACAGACGCTTTTACACACAGAGACTTTTACACACAGACGCTTTTACACACAGACGCTTTTACACACAGACGCTTTTACACACAGACGCTTTTACACGCAAACACTTTTACACACAAACACTTTTACACACAGAGACTTTTACACACAGAAGCTTTTACACACAGACGCTTTTACATACAAACCCTTTTCCACACAAACACTTTTACGCACAAACACTTTTACACACAAACACTCTTACACACAGGAGCTTTTACACACAGACGCTTCTACAGACAGAGACTTTTACACACAAACGCTTTTACACACAGACGCTTTTACACAGAGACCCTTTTACATACAGACGATTTTACACACAGACGCTTTTACACACAGACGCTTTTACACACAAACGCTTTTACACACAGAGACTTTTACACGCAGACGCTTTTACACACAGAAGCTTTTACACACAGAGACTTTTACACGCAGACGCTTTTACACACAGACGCTTTTACACACAGACGCTTTTACATTCAGACGCTTTTACACACAGACGCTTTTACACACAGATGCTTTTACACGCAGAAGCTTTTACACACAAACACTTTTACACACAAACGCTTTTACACACAGACGCTTTTGCACACAGACGCTTTTACATTCAGACGCTTTTACACACAGACGCTTTTACACACAGAGGCTTTTACACTCAGAAGCTTTTACACGCAGAAGCTTTTACACACAAACACTTTTACACACAGACGCTTTACACACAGACCCTTTTACACACAGACGCTTTACACACAGACCCTTTTACATACAGACTCTTTTACACACAGACGCTTTTACACACAGATGCTTTTGCACACAGAGACTTTTACACAGGCGCTTTTACACACAGACGCTTTTACACACAGACGCTTTCACACACAGCCGCTTTGACACACAGACACTTTTACACACAGAAGCTTTTACACACAGACGCTTTTACACACAGAAGCTTTTAGACACAGACGCTCTTACACACAAACACTTTTACACACAAACACTTTTACACACAGACGCTTTTACACAGAGTCGCTTTTACATACAGACACTTTCACACACAGCCGCTTTGACACACAGACACTTTTACACACAGACGCTTTTACACACAGACGCTTTTACACACAGACGCTTGTTACACATAGGCTCTTTTACACACAGACACTTTTACACACAGACGCTTTTACACACAGAGCCTTTTACACACAGACGCTTTTACACACAGACGCTTTTGCACACAGAGACTTTTACACACAGAGCCTTTTACACACAGACGCTTTTACACACAGACGCTTTTACACACAGACGCTTTTACACACAGACGCTTTTACACACAGACGCTTTTACACACCAACACTTTCACACACAGAGACTTTACACACAGAAGCTTTTACACGCAGACGCTTTCACACACAGACGCTTTTACACACAGAAGCTTTTACACACAGACACTTTCACACACAGAGACTTTTACACACAGAAGCTTTTACACACAGACGCTTTTACACACAGACGCTTTTACACACAGACGCTTTTACACACAGACGCTTTTACACACAGAGCGCTTTTACACACAGACAAGTCCGGCACAAGTAAAATCGCACCTAGTTTTTGCCGATCGACCCTCATTTCGTGCGAAAGGGTTGCTCCGGCACACGAAAAATATCGAAAAATCGCACTTTTTCCTCAGTTTTTGGCGATCGACTCTCATTTCGTGCGAAAGGGTTGCTCCGGCACACGAAAAATATCGAAAAATCGCACTTTTTCCTCAGTTTTTGGCGATCGACCCTCATTTTGTGCGAAAGGGTTGCTCCGGCACACGAAAAATCGCAATTTTTCCTCAATTTTTGACGATCAACCCTCATTTCGTGCGAAAGGGTTGCTCCAGGACAAGTCAAATCGCAATTTTACCTCAGTTTTTGCCGATCGACCCTCATTTCGTGCGAAAGGGTTGCTCCGGCACAAGTCAAATCGCAATTTTACCTCAGTTTTTGGCGATCGACCCTCATTTCGTGCGAAAGGGTTGCTCCGGCACACGAAAAATATCGAAAAATCGCACTTTTTCCTCAGTTTTTGACGATCGACCCTCATTTCGTGTGAAAGGGTTGCTCCAGGACAAGTAAAATCGCAATTTTCTTCAGTTTTTGCCGATTGACCCTCATTTCGTGCGAAAGGGTTGCTCCGGGACAAGTCAAATCGCAATTTTTCTTCAGTTTTTGCCGATCGACCCTCATTTCGTGCGAAAGGGTTGCTCCAGGACAAGTCAAATCGCAATTTTACCTCAGTTTTTGACGATCGACTTTCATTTCGTGCGAAAGGGTTGCGTTTCGTGCCGTCTCGTTTGCACTGCCCTGCCCCCGCCTTCAGAAGAGAAATAGAAAAGAAGGAGAGAGCAAGAGGGCAAGAGGGCAAGAGGAGAAGATGTGAGAAGATGTGAGATGATGTGAGAAGATGTGAGAAGATGTGAGTGGAGGTGTGAGAAGATGTGAGAAGATGTGAGAAGATGTGAGTGGAGGTGTGAGAAGATGTGAGAAGATGTGAGAAGATGTGAGAAGATGTGAGAAGATGTGAGAAGATGTGAGAAGATGTGAGAAGATGTGAGTGGAGGTGTGAGAAGATGTGAGAAGATGTGAGAAGATGTGAGTGGAGGTGTGAGAAGATGTGAGTGGAGGTGTGAGAAGATGTGAGAAGATGTGAGAAGATGTGAGAAGATGTGAGAAGATGTGAAGATGAGAAGATGTGAGAAGATGTGAAGATGAGAAGATGTGAAGATGAGAAGATGAGGAGATGAGAAGATGTGAAGATGAGAAGATGAGGAGAAGATGTGAGGATGAGAAGATGTGAAGATGAGAAGATGTGAAGATGAGAAGATGTGAAGATGAGAAGATGTGAAGAGGAGAAGATGTGAAGATGAGAAGATGTGAAGATGAGAAGATGTTTTACAGACCCCCACTATTGGAAGAACCCTGCGCTCAGACGCTCTCGGGAAAAAAACTTACAACTTGTAGCTTTTAGCTGATAATTTGAAACTAGCATGTTCTGAAAAAATATTTGGATCATAGATAAAACGAGAAACAAACATATGATTTAGGGGTCAGGACCGTTCCGTGCTAAAAGGCAGAAACCGTCGCGACCGTTCCATGCTATATTCAAGATTACAGTCGGAAACCGTCGCGACCGTTCCATGCTATAGCCCTTAAAAAACGGATATAATCCGGAACCGTCTGCGACCGTTCGGAACCGTTCCTGGAAATTGCAAAAAAGATATAGTGTAGGAACCGTCGCAACCGTTCCACGCTGCATTCAAGATTACAGTCGGGAACCGTCGCGACCGTTCCCGCAAAACTGGATTCTTGCATTATTTTAGCCTAAATATACCAATATATATATATATTTATCTATATATATATTTATCTATATATATATTTATTTATTTATTTATTTTGCATTAGAATATGTGTATATATATAGTTACACACATATAATTTTTACCCTTTTTTTGTTGTATACAATACATTTTTAAATGTGTATACAGGTATATACATACGTTATATCATATCTTTTGAAAAAACTACCTAGTTATAGTTTAGAACATAAGCCGGCTATTTAAGATTTTATGATTTCGATTCCAACATCATCAATGATCCCGGGGTCTGGGATATGAATGCCCACATCTCTGTAAATGTTTGTGCCAGCTTAAAAGGCTGAACCTAAGTGCAATTCTTTCAGCACAACCCAGTCTTTTCAAGTTCCTGCATTTTTTTCTGTTAGTTCCAACATATTGGTTTAGAGTTCCAATATTTACCCATATAGTTCCTGTATTTTCCCATATAGTTCCTATATACCCAGGGTGGCCACACACAAATAGGCCATCACTGGTTATAATACATACATACATACATACATACATGACATACATGACATACATGACATGACATACATACATGACATGACATACATACATGACATACATGACATACATGACATACATGACATACATGACATACATGACATACATGACATACATGACATACATGACATACATGACATACATACATACATTCATACATTCATACATACCTACCTACCTACGTACGTACGTACATACATATATACATACGGACATCCATCCATGCATGCATGCATGCATGCATGCATGACATAGATACATACATGACATAGATACAGATACATACATGACATAGATAGATAGATGGATGGATGGATGGATAGATACATACATACATACATGAATACATGAATGCATGACATAGATACACACATGACATAGATACACACATGACATAGATACACACATGACATAGATACATACATGACATAGATAAACATGACATAGATACATGACATGACATGACATGACATGACATGACATAGATAAACATGACATAGATACATACATGACATAGATAAAAACATTGCATAGATACATACATTGCATTACATTACATCACATTACATCACAACACATTGCATTGCACTGCATTACATTACATACAGAGAGAGCGAGAGAGAGGGAGTCATAATTTCGTGTTTGTCTTTGGATGGGTGCTTTCTGCGATTGCTTCGTCGAGGTGCGTGAGGAGTTGGTCGCTGGAGGCCACTGAGTTTAGTCTGTAGCGGATTGTTGGGTCATGTCAAGTCATATCAGTGACATGTCAGGCTTGATGTGGTGCCAAGCACTGGCTTTCCGATGTCCCATGTTTTCCTTCTTGGTCATATCTGGCGCTCGGTTATTTCCTCGGACATGGCTCAATATAGTACATGTATAGACCGATTATACACCTGTCAAAGTGGTCTAGAACGATGGAGGCATCGTTTCGTGGCTGATGGCTCTGCTTCAGAGCACATCGCCAAAGAGCCTCTCGCATGCTGTAGCTTGGCCAGTGATGCAAGTGCCACTTTCCAAACGCTCCAGAATGGCATCAACCCATAGGTGAATGATGGCCACTAGGAGAGAAAATTAGTCATGTTACCTTTCTATTTGCCCATTTTACCTCCTTGTGTCTGGGGTATTGGGAGCAGCCGTGTGTACGCAATGGATTTTGCAAA